ATATAATCTCAACACTGCTCCCCGTAGAGTCCTACTTGGGGTGTACTCTCTTTTTGGGGTTGAATGCCATGTGAGTATTTATCGGTAATACTGAACTACTATACGATGTTCATTGTTGCCGTGTATCATATTCTTAAACCGTCGTTCCGAAGTTGGCGTATGGAAAGACGTGTACAATCTCGCATGTGATGTACGTTTGGACAGCTCAGCGCAGGCTCGGGCATATGCACGACCATTGAACACTGCCCGATACTGCAAAACCAGGAGAGCCTTCCCAAGCACCATCCAGGAAAGACTCTATGGAAGCTGTGCTTCTTTTGTGGCCATAATTCATCAGTGATCTTCACAAAATGTCCGTCAGTGGTACTTTGATGCGCATACGTGTCTGCGTGTTTGTGTGTGTGGGGAGATGGGCGGGGGTTGGTTTCATTGCAGGGATATCAACGGAAACAATCTCACCGGCCGTCTTCCTCCAACAATTGGTAGCCTTACCAGTCTTGAAACCCTGTACGTCAATCCAATACCATGGCTCGATCATTCACAAATCGTGCACACTAGATTTATCAAAGGGAAACCATGGGAATGCAGAGCTGGCCATGCAATGGGAGTAACTTCTAGGATCAAATTCCAGTCGTCGTCCTGTTCCCTTTGAACGTGCAGGGACTTTTCTGGAAATGCACTCACATGCCCACCGGACTACGGCAGCTGCACGGTCCCACAGGACAATACAACTGCCTTCTGCGGGCAGTGCCTTACCTTCTGCAACACATGTTCCATGGAAGCACCCTTTACACCACCACCACCGTCTCCTCCACCCTCTGCACCACCTTCGTTCCCCCAAAGTGAGTCACCACCTGTCCCACGTTAAGCCTGTCTGCTGGTCTCTCTTCCGTGGATAACCCCGTTTGAGTTGTTTCCTACAGTCTGAGCCTGAAACTGTTTCTACTGGTACAACTATTAGCCCCACATGTCCCTCCAGCACCCATGCCACTGCTCAGCATGATGGAGGGGGAACGTGTATTGAAAATTCTCACAATACGCCTATATGATGGTGGGGACTTTAGTAGGAGTGGAAGGGCATAAGTTGATGCGACTTGGCTGGCTCATCTCCCCTTGCACCCTCTCTACCCAGCCTCCTCCCTTCCCTGCTTCCCCTCCTTCCTCCTGCTGGACCTTCATTCTCCCCTTGCACCTCATCCTGTTTCCCCCTCCAGCTGCTCTCCCCCCTCGCTCTGCCTCAAGTGCAACTCCTGATGGGCTCCTGCTGGACATTTCATGGGTGGGTGGCTGGTGGGAGCTGGTATGCTTATCTTTCCCTCTCTGCTCCGCCTCCTGCTACTCCCACCTGATCCACCCTCCTGCCCCCCTCTCCCCCCACTCCCCCCCCCCCCCCCCCCTCCAGTGCAAGTCCTGCTGGACTTAAAGCAGGCATGGGGGAAGACATTCCATGGGTGGGTGGCTGGGGGAAACTGCAGCGCTGCTGCATGGGTGGAGTGCGATGCCCAGGGCATGGTCACCAGCATGTGAGTTCACCAACCCTTGCTTGGCATGTGAGTGCGCCACACTTGCTTGGCATGTGAGTGCACCACCCTTGCTTGGCATGTGAGTGCACCACCCTTGCTTGGCATGTGAGTGCACCACCCTTGCTTGGCAAGTGAGTGCACCATAAAAAAAAATGGATGCAGAAAACCATTTTTGACATCATTGCCCCCTAGCTTGTCTTCTTGTGTCGTTTTCCCTCGTCGTCGTTGTCCCTAGATCCTTACGAGTTCTCAGTAATGACTATTCACTTGGCCCTTAAAGCCCAAAAAAAAAATAAAAAAAAAAAATTCACTTGGCACTATGGTTTGCATGACCTTCAAGAATCGGGTAACGTTTCCTTGCACCCATTCTCGCCCCTGATTCGGTAACACTTCCTTGCTTTCACTCACCCCTTAACTCTTCCGTCCTTCCATTGCCCTTTGGACGGTCTCCAGAGATCTGTCTGGGAACAGTCTCAGTGGCTCGATACCCTCAGGCATTGCCAATCTTCTCGATCTGCGCTATTTGTGAGATTCGCTATTTGAATGTGAAGAGCGCATGTCAAACACGTCGCTTGTGACCAGTTGTATCTAGTGTGGCCATTTGCTGCTATAAGAGGCTATCAGATCAGATCAAACTTATTAAATACGATATGAAATGGCCAGTTATGCATTTCAATGCATCCAATGAGATATGGTACTTGTGTAACAACAATCATGCGTCAGTATGTCATGCCCTCCCCCTCCTCTCCCCCCCCTCACCCCTCCCGTTCATTCACTGCTCCTTTGAATCCTTTGCACGTACCTTCAGGGATCTGGGATACAATGCCTTGAGTGGGTCTATTCCATCTACCATCGGCAGCATGAGCAGCCTCACTTTCCTGTCAGTGTATCTGAACTTCCGTGTTTGGCTCAAGTAGCGCATAACTGCCTGAGAAGCTCTGCTTTACACCTCAAAGTAACGCATAAATCTTCTCACTACCTCTTTCGTGATCATTCTTTGTCGTTTATCTCTTAATGCCTGTTCACACCATTGGTGCATTGCTGCTGCTAATGGATGCAGGTGCCTAAGCTATAATTCCCTCTCGCAGACCATCCCGGCATCCCTCGGGAACCTCACCAACCTGCAGCGATTGTACGAACTCAAAACTTTTCATTACAACATCAAAGTACCCACAAAAGAGGCTGACACAGGGTGACACCCAATGAGGAGATATCCGATGCCCAGCTGAGTGTTTTCATTGTCTCGCTGTTCTTTGGCCATTGTAGGTTCCCATATGTACAGGCTAGTGTACATTTACACAAACGCCCTTCAGTGCAACTTTGGTGAATACCGTGTCAGCACGTATGTGGGGGAGGGAGGGGGGGAATGGGTCCGTATGAATGTGCCATGTGCCCTTAGTACAGAATATCGATAAATCACAGTCACAAAATTTGATCAAAAAGTAAAGCAAGCATTAGGATTAGCCTTTATGGCAAGAAAAAGAAGAGCCTTCCCAAGCGCCTTCCAGGAAAGGCATAATGGAACCTGTGTTTCTTTGCTGGCCAAAAGCTTTGCTAAAATTGGTGCATGTTTTTTGCAACTTTGTTTGTCAGGTACCTCGAAAACAATGTTCTTCTGAGTGGCGTCATTCCCGAGTCCCTTGGAAAGCTCTCCAATCTTTCTGAAGTGTGAGTATTCTCACTACTGTTCTTCGTTTGCCGTGTGAGTTCTAACCCTATAGTGCAATGTCCACCATAATTCAAATCCCATTGTTAACATTGGATTCTATGAAAATGAGCATGTTGCAAGGAGCTTGGGATTTCTTGAAGTCCATGTTTACTATTCGGCGCTTAGACATGACCTGGCAAGGTGTGCATTCAAAACATTCTGTTCTTGCGGCCGAATCAATCAGCCCAATACTACTTGTCAGCTTCCTGCAACTTCGGAAATACACTGTTTATCCAAATAGCCTTTCAACTCACCAATAAGTCCGTTGGAACAGGGATCCATAATTGTTTTTTTCAACGCAACAATGGAGGCTTTTTTTTTAGACAGCTGCACGATTATTAAACCCCTCCTTCGGCTTCATGATGACGTGCAGGGACATATCTGGAACAGCAGTAACATGCCCAATCGACTACGGCAGCTGTGTGGTCCCACAGAATACTGCAACCGCTTTCTGCCGGAAGTGCCCCTCCTTCTGCAACACATGTGGCAATCCAGCGCCATGTGAGCACCATGATATTGCATGGATTCTTTGCTCTCTCATTTTTTCCATGGATCTAATCTGGCATCCTTCACGTGCTTGCATTCTTATCCCCTCCCCTCAAACTCCCCGCACCGCCCTTCCCCGCCCTTTTCGTGTTCTTGTCCCCTGCTTTCTCTCAAGTCCCTTTCTCTACAGCTGGGCTGATCCACAGACCAAAACTAGTTGTAGATGGCAGCACATCCGTTTCAGCACCCGTCTCCTCATCAACTAAGTGAATGATTCCCCATCCGAAACCCTTTCTTTTTCAACCCATGCCATTTCCAACGCCTTTTTTCCCAACTCCAGCCTCTACCTCCCAGTCAGGAGGCAGTCTGTCAGTAGGCGCCATAGCTGGCATTGCTGCTGCTGGCGGTGTGGCTATCCTCCTGCTTCTGCTGCTGGGTCTGATGCTGTGCAAGCGATGGCGCACCAAAGCGGCTGCAGCAAGAGGCAATAGTGGCACAGATGCAGAGGGCAAGGATCTGGCAGACGAGAGTGTGCTCCCTGGTAAAATTCAAGTCAAGATTCTGATGCACACTGTGTAATCCCTTTCCACCACTCATCTCTCCGTGCACACACCAATCCATTTCCCCTTTCACTACCTTCCAATTTCTAAAATTCAGGGTTACCGAGAGAAGCATACACTGTGGATGAGAGGGACCCAGAAGCAGCAGCAGCCGCAGCTGCAGCGGCAGCTGTGGCAGCAGGAGCAGGAGCAGCACGAGCGCAGGAGAGAGGGGATTTGGTGGTGGATATGGAGGCAGTGAAGCCGCAAGTGTGCCAGAAGTTCACTCTGGAAGAGCTGGCAAACGCAACAGCGGATTGGGCTGAGGGGAACAGGATTGGCAGCGGCAGCTTTGGGGATGTGTACAAGGGCGTGTCCCCATACAACCCTGATGAGATATGGGCTGTGAAGCGATCCAGAATTCTCTCCAATGACTTCCTAACCGAGGTATCACTCCGTGATAGTGGTATATTTGGAATCACACAGAACGTCAATTTTCCGTCCGCCTTATCAAACTTATTCTCACTCGAAGTCCATGTCTCCTCCACATCACTTAATATCTCCCCTTAAAACGATTCAAATTTACACTTTTATTCATCTCCCTTTCTCGATCCCTGCTTGTTTTCATCCCTCTTCCTGGCCCCTCAAGGTGAGGGAGATGGCATCGAAGCACCACCCGCACCTCGTGCGGCTGCTGGGCTTCTGTGTGAACTTCGATACGACCACGAGCCACGTGGAGCAGGTGCTCGTGTATGAGTTCATGGCCAACCGAGACCTCGAGTCCTGGATTGGACCAGGTAACTCAGATTACTTTGCAACGCCCTTTGATGAGTCCTTCCGCCATTAGCTTTTCTGAAACATGGCCTAGGACTGTTTGGAGTCTACCTTGTTCCCTTGTGCTATTCCCGATCATTTAGCGCCATGTCTAAAGGCCCTTCTTCTACGTTGCTTTGTGGAATTAATCGGCTTCCGAACTCTCCCCAGAAGTGTGATACTAGTTTCGATACTTTTTTTATGTCACGCCATACACATTTTCCACCTATCTCTTTCCAGGTGCTCCCAGCCCTCTTTCACTGTTGCAACGGCTGGACATTCTAATCGGGGTGGCAAAGGGGCTGCATTACCTGCATGACTTTGGCATAGTGCATCGCGACATCAAGCCAGCCAACATTCTCCTAGACACAAAGATGCAGGCATGTCAAGACTTTGATTTCTACCGATTCCTGCCCGTTTACTAGCCAAACCTTCTATTTTCGTCTCGCTGTTGGCATGCTCTTATTCGATATGTGCTACTTGGTGAACGCATCTGGTCGTTTCTATGTTACCTTTTCTGTCATCGGTGGCCAGGCCAAAATTGCAGACTTTGGTCTTGTGAAACTCACTGAGGGCACCACTATGGGCACATCTGTGGCTGCCACTCGAGTGATGGGAACACCGGGCTATGTGGACCCTGCATACTATAAGTCACACAAGGCCACTACAGCAGCAGATACTTATAGGTGAGCTTATATTTGCATGCATGTGTTGTACATGCGTGCGTGTCTGTATGAGTGTGTGTGTGTATGTGTGTATACATATGTGTGTGTGCGGGTGTGTGTATATATGTGTGTGTATGTGTATGTGTGTGTGTATGTGCGTGCGTGCACACATGCGTGCATGAGAGTGTGTGTGTGTGTGTGTGTGTGTGTGTTTGTGTGTGTGTGTGTACCTTGGACGCTCTATTGAATTGCCCTTGATCAACCTCGTTTCTGGTCCACTTGTTGCACCGCCCTCCACTTCTTTGGTTCCGGCAGTTTTGGAGTGGTGATGCTGGTGGTCATCTCAGCTCGCAAGGCCGTGCATGTGGGAGAGGACATCCAGATCAGCTTGAAGCAATGGGTGAGGCACAGCAGTGAGATGCAAATGCATTTTTAGAATATTCAACGCAAGATTCCCCTGAATGCCAGTTCCAACATGCGGTTATAATCGCAAGCAACTGAAATTCTAGCGTGTCAAGTGTTCCATATGGGTGCTTTTCCTTGTGGACCTGGCAGGTCGCCCCGTTGGTGGAGTCAGGTGCCGTGGTAGTGTTCAAGGACCCCTACTTGAACGCGCCGGATGATCTCGTGCTGCGCTTGGCCCGCCTTGCCCTCTCCTGCACCGCCATGCCTCCGGCTTCCCGCCCCTCCATGAGCCAATTGCTGGGAGAGCTGGTGAAGATCAAGCAGGAGATGTTTGGGACGCATGTGAGCAAGGCCATATCGACCATCTTTATGGAAACTGGGAGTTCTGCTGGTGGCTCCTCCGGCTTCACTGCTGAAATGGCCCGCGCGGAGCACAAGGGTATGCAGAGTGGCTCCTCTACTAGCATGTCATAGGATGCTGTGGTGCTGTTGTGTTCAAGGACCCCTCAGAATCAGCGCATGCATTGGTGCTGCGCTTTGCTCGCCTCTCCTACATTGTCATGCTCAGTGCTTCCTGTCCTGCCATGTGCCAACTGCTTGTAGATCTGGCGACTACTTGCACAGGCAATCAGAGTTGCAACTTTGCATTGGCAATTGATTTGACTGCTCAAGTCGCAGAGATCTCAATGCTGGGATAATGTGTGGCAAGCTTATGGACATTTCCAGTAGCTCGTTTTCATAGGAATTGCAAAATGGATTGAACCTTTGATTTGTTATAAATCGTGTAGCTTGAGGATTTTGAAGGATTCTGTCCTTTAATTTTGGTTGGATAGAAGAGTGAAGGTATTTACACTACTTACATCAGATTGCTTGCTCAAATGGAGACAACAAAATGGGGTAGGCATACTGCATGTAGATATAATAGAGTGGACATCATATGGATAAAATGGCATGTCTGTACTGACGTTGAGTAAGTTGTGTAGTTTCATCCTTGGTTTTTTATCCTGGCATTCTTAAGGGTGTATTCTTGATGCGCCCAAATATTGCCTGTATGATGTTATTTCAGGTTTAAGAGAGTGTTCCTACCTCTTAGCAAATCAGCCCCTTCTCGGACCCATGTCGCACTGCACTGAATCGCATTTAACAGATTCACATCAATATCATAGTTATTGCAAAACCTTATCTTTGGGGGCTGGACCCACAAGGGGACCGTTGAACCTGTTTATTTATAAGTTATGCATAAGAAATGCATTGCTACTCTATCTTGGATCAAGTGCAACTCATAGGGAGAGTTCTGGGGCAACGCAAGGCACATGCGCATCAAGGAGGGGATGGCGTGCGTGGCATCCACGTGCTGGCTGGTATCTACCCCATTGTCAAGAGTGAGGCATCTACCCCATTTCCAAGAAGAAAATATGTACTCTATAGTCGAGAGTGAGGTGTTTACCCATCATCAAGAGTTAGACATCTACCCCATTATTGAGCGGTAGTTATTTAACCCATTGGCAAGAGTTAGGCATATACCCCATTGCAAGTTGTACTAGTACAATCCTGCAAAGGAAACCAACAAATAGAAATAGAATGAAACAAGAGTACACCAAAGTAAACAGCACTAAGAGAACCTCCATGTGTTATGGTCTTTCCTGGTTCTACTTGGATGTGTTCGACTGTATTCTCATTTTCACCTTCCAGTTCCAAGTGATCCCTGCAGCCAAAACAGTTACTAGGGAAATCGGGATTTGTATCGCACAAACCCGTGCGGCCAGTTCCCATGCTAGGGTTGGACCAGTCAATGGCTTGATTGTCCTGAGGGTGACGGGGTCAAAATGGGTTCGGGGCGACTCGGGATGAGGTTGGGGCCGACGAGGTCGATGGGGGCTGGTTTGGCGCGTGACTCGAGTGCTGAGCCTGCAGACGCGAACTGTTCGCGTGTACTCGCTGTGGCGAGCCCCAATAAGGAATGGTAATTCCTTACACTCTCCCACCTTCTAAAGGAAAGGACTCCCTCAATCGAGGGCGAACCTTTTATATGATTTAATCCTGGAAGTGATTGTAGGTCTTCAGTCCTGTGACGAGCGTAATGATTACGCCAGCCTGACAAGGTCTTGAGGTCGAACTGAAATCAAGGGCAAAAAAACGTCGAAACGTTGCTTTTTAATTTCAGCCGTCGAAGATGGTCGAATAACAGTAACGCTGTTGCTTGATGATGGCGCGTGGCAGATGAATATATGGAAATGATGACTGGCGAATAACGTGCTGGTCGATGAAATGAAGAACCCGTTCATCAAACGCGAGGTCGTTCAAGTCATATGCGAGAGCATGCGTCTGTGTACCACGAAAGTCAGCGAACTCTATCAACGAAGTGACGAAATCAGGCGCAGAAGCGTAACGGTGACGAATGTTGCTCGAAGATGGCCCCAAGAAACCCAACGCTCCAGGGTACGCGAGATAGTGTACATATCTGCTGCTTAAAAATCCCATAACTCAGCTTCGAGGATGCCGTTGAAATATATCCCAGCCACTAAATACGCGAATCATGATGACTCCAAAATCCGCTCCAGGTAAATTGTCTTCGCGGTAAACCGCGTTGAAGGACTGGAAATTCTGCAACTACTGCTCCAGAAGACTCCCACACGAACTCAAAAAAACTTCAAAAGTCAAACACTGCTTGCGAGTTGGCCCCAACACAGCTCCAACAATACTGCTGCCAAATTTTATGTAAATCCGATACTGCTATTTTTGATTCGGATGGCGCAGCGGGGTCGTGTTCACACTGTCGGGCGAATCAGACAAATTGATGATGCAGATGGTAGTAGGTGGTGACGAGAGGAAGATGACGGTGGCGATGACCTATAACATGTATTTAACCACTCTAGTAAAAAACCTCGAACAGAACCAAGGTCAACTGACGCCATCTACAAAAGCTTTTTGTCCGTACACGCCGAAATATTAGGGAAGAGACACAACAATAACCGCTCTCCCTCCGCTCCATGTACCCAGAATACTCCGCAAAATTCGTTCGATGTCGCTCGTACCCCCGATGATAGCGGGTACTGCTCCAGCTGTAAGTCCATGAACTGCTCCAGCAAAAATATTGGAACTCCATCGATACTTAACCAAGAGTGCAACACTGCTTCACAGCTTCCCGTAAGAACAATTGGGCATCACGGCGTCCTTTAGCAGCGCCTCCACGGTTTCCATCAGCTGTACACATAAACTGAACCCGTTATATGAGGGAACATTAGAGTCCACCGCCTCGGCATGATGTTTTGGCCGTCGATCAGGGTCAATGCGAATCATACCCCGTCGAACTCCGCCCAGTTGTTACCCAATTCTAAAAATTCTCCGGTACCCCTGTCCAGCTAGCCATGCAGATGTTCACCCATGTCGCGGGTGCTGCAGGTTACCAAAAACCACTTCGCTGCTGCTCAACTAACTAAGAGAATCCGCAGAGATAGGAGTGCGCACGCTTCTAGTCAGAGGAGAGTTAACGAGCTCGCCTACTGACCGCTGGACAGCTCCCTCCTCCGTCGGAAACACGTCAAACTACGCCCGCAAAAGTCGGAAACCCTCACCTCCGCTGCAACAGGTACGCCTTAAATTTCGGGGACACTCCATCAGTCAAACATATTTGTATATGTTTCTATAGGCTAGATAGGGGCATGCCTTAGAGAGTCCGTCTCACTAGGTCAAAACCACCCTGTACTTCTCATTTCAATCATTCTGCTATTCTAACATGGTATCATAGTAGGTTAGGTCCGCAGACCCGCTTCCGTCGCCTGCCTCTAGCGCCCCGCCTGCCCCGCGCGTACCCGCTAGCCCCTAGTGCACCCTGCCAGCTCCTCACGTAACCGCCGTCCCTAGCATACCCGCCGGCCCTAGCACGTCCGCCGGCCTTAGCGTGCCTGCCGGCCCCGCACGTACCTGCCGGCCCTAGCGCACCCGTCGCTCCCCCCGCGACACCGCTGGCCCCTAGCGTACCAGCCGGCCCTAGCGCACCTGCCGGCCCCCTCACATACCCGCCAGCCCTAGTGCACCCGCTGGCCCCAAGCGTCCTCGCCGGCCCCACGCGTACCCGTCGGCCCCTAGCGTCCCCGCCGGCCCCACGCGTCCCCGCCGGCCCCTCGAGTACCCGCTGGCCCCAGGGTACCCGCCGGCCCCAGCGTGCCCGCCGGCCCCAGCGTACCCGCCAGCCCCTCGCGTAACCACCGGCCCCAGCGTGCCCGCCAGCCCCAGCGTGTCCGCCGGCCCCAGCGTACCCGCCAGCCCCAGCGTACCCGCCGGCCCCAGCGTACCCGCCGGCCCCAGCATACCCGCCGGCCCCAGCGTACCCGCCGGCCCCAGTGTACCCGTTGGCCTCAGGCTACCCGCCGGCCCCAGCATACCGGCTGGCCTCAGCCTACCCGCTGGGCCCAGCGTCCTCGTCGGCCCCAGCGCATCCACCGGCCCCTCCTAGTTCCCGCTGGCACCTGGCTTACTCGCCGGCTCCTAGTGCACCTCGCCGGCCGCCCGCGTACCTGCAGACCCCTTGCGTGCCCGCCGGCCTGCTGTGCGCCCCGGGCCCTGTGCGCCCTGCCAGGCCTTCCCGCCGGAGAGTCCTGTCGCCACGCCGCTGAGTCCCTGTGCAGTTGGGCCACTGTGTAGCTATGGTGTCGTGGAGCTGTGACGCTGTGCCTGCACAATGGTGGACGCCGTCCTCCGCCTTGACGCTGAGGGACACACGATCGACTTCGCCGCCTAGCTCGTCGATCTCCGTCGGCACCTGAAAGGTCAGCGTCAGGATGGGCACTTCCTGGCTGTGCATGTTGATGGCTTGCTTCCCCGCTGTCCCGCGCCTGATCCCCTCCCTGCTGATCCCACCACTGCTGAGCGTGAGGCTTTCTCTGCTGCTGCGCTCGCCCGTGTTGTCTGGGATTCCCTCAATGCTGTAACGTAGCTAGCCATCAGTCATGCGCTTCCCCTATCTGAGCGTCCGCGCTTCACTGCTATCGGAAATGCCAAAGAATTCCTAGATGCTGTAGTTACTCGCTATTCCACGCCCGCCTCTGCCTCTGCTGGCCGCCTGATCCTTCCCATGCTGTTCCCAGACCTTGCCGCGTTTCCCACTGTAGCTGACCTTGCCACCCACCTCCGTGCTCTAGAGACTAGCTACCACACTGCTAGCACAGCCGCCCAGCTTATTGCCTTCCCCCCACCATTCTGCGCTACATTGTACCTTATTGCCATGCGCCTGCCTGACCGCTTAGCCACTGCCCGCGACCAGTTCCTTAGCCAGCACCCCAGTGACCTCACCCTGACAGCTTTTGTCACCGCCCTGTCTGAGATAGAGACTCGCCAGCGCACTATCTCCCATTCGAGCGGTGTTGCGGCAGTCCCTATATTCCATGGATGTGCTCCCTCCCAGTGCACGTACGTTGACGTGTCCGCCGTGGTAGCTACGGCTGCCCTGCTGCTGAGACCATTGTTGCGGTCTCCCCGCACCAGCGCCGGTGCCAGGGCCGTCGCGGCCCCAAGGGAGGGCTCGGTGGTGGCGCTGGTGGTGGAGGTAGTAGTGGTGGCGGGGACGGTGGCTCTGACGAGGGTGGTGGGGCTGGTGGCCAGGAGCAGCCCCAGCAGCAGCAGTTGCCATAGCAGCAGCAGCAGCAGCATCAGCAGCAGCAGCAGTAGCAGCCGTGGGCCCGCCTCCCGCCGGGCTGGCTAGGAGCCTCTGGAGGTGTGGGCCGCGGTGGCGGCCCACGCAGCTCGGCGTC